ACACTCGATCGTCATTTGAATGTGCAGTCTCGATAAGAGGGGAAAATGGATTTTTAATCGTTGAAAAATCCAGGGGGAAATCAGACTACTTGTGGAGAGTCATCAACCCACTTTTCAACTTGTGCCCATTAACTCGGATAAAGTGCCAACGTGGGTCAATTCAAATGTTAGTTGAAATGGAATAAAAAATTAATGAAAGAAATCCTGGAAAAATCAGAATGTGGAGCACCGGTATGAGACGTTTCACACGTCGTCCTTTCATAACTGATCATTAGTAATGCGAAATAATATGCAAATCAATGTAATTAAACGTAAGGATATTCAAGTGCAATACAAATTGAGAGACTTTCAATCATTAAATTTGTCAGTTAAATTATGTGAAAAAATATTTTTTTTAAATTCTTGGGTGTTGAGGGTTATTCAAATAACATTTTGCGGAATTATTATTCTTGTAAACATTTTTTCCTTGTAAATAATTCATAAGAAGAAGTCGTAACACTCAAAAATTACACTTTTTCAATTGTTTTATAAATTTTCCTCCAAAACCTACTTTTTAAAAATTTTTTCCGTGATTTTTTAAATATATAATTAAAATAATTTCTTGAGATTTTCCAAATGTTTTGAGAGCTTTAAATGAAGAATCGATTTTAGATCTCAGAACGTTTAATAACGAAACGCGTGCAAACTGTTCGGAAAGTCGTAGAAGAGAATTTCAACGAACAACAAACCCCTACTTAAATGAAGAATTACTAATTCCCATATAATCTCTCTTTAATAAACCGAAAAAAAAGAAAACACCAGATGTAAACAGAACGATTCCACAATTCTGTGCGCAAAACGTTGTCCTTCCCACGAAATGGAATTATTTCAAGTGGCTAAAAAATTCCCCAAATCTTCCGAAAACTTCAACATTACTATCCCCGCAAGAGCATTTACTCACCGTCTACGAGATACGAATAATAATCCACTTTTAATCTTTCCGTCTCCCCTCTGCTACCAAAAAATTCAAAAAATTTCCTTAACTCGAAAAAAAACAGGAATACAACTTCACAATGTCACAAGAGAGTCATGAGACATTCCCCAAAAAATATGAACTTTAATGTTGGATTTGTAATATCGGTGCACGTCCATTCGTGCGTGACTTAAGAATGAAAATCTAATACTGAATCAAGACTGTTGTGGGACAACTTCGATACCCCGATCGCACTGAGGACAAATTTAATAATAGTACGAGCGTTAAAGAGAGAAACCAGTTAACGGTATTGTACAGTGCATTATTCGCATGTGCTATTGGTTGTTTGTGCAAGGGGAAATTTACGAAAGAATTATGATTGGCTCGGGTAAAATCGGGTGGGCAAAGCATGCGATTTTCGAGCCAGGAGTCAACAGATGAGTTTATTGCATTGAATATCTGTTATTGTTGTGAATTCGTACACGTGTGGTTGAGAATAACAAAATCACTCAATTAATGGGTTATCACAGTCGTTGATGAGTTCGAGGGCCACTTAATCGAATGTGTCCTCTTGTTTATTCTACTTGTGAACGCAACAATGTGTGTAATCAGAGTACTTGTGATCACTTTCATATAATGGGGTGTATTCAAAACGTTATCGCGAAGTTCGTGTACTTTATCTTTACTTGACCATTTCATTTGCATAGGAAATTCTCCGAGAATGTGGGGAGTAAGAATAAGACTGCATTCAAAATTGTTGCGTTGATGAGGAAAAAAAATGAGTTCGAGAAGAATTTTTTTTCCTGTCATCAAAAAGTTAATTGATGTTAATGGATATCACTCAGAAAATCATCAGAAGAATATTTTTTTTATCTTGACTGTACAATTAGATTTTTACTTGGAAAATACCACGTAAATGTATAGAGTAAAGAAAAGGCTGAATTGATAATTGTTTTGTTGATAAAGTGCAGTATTCTTTGTTTAACGAATTATTCTTCCTCTTATCAAGAAATTGATGAATGTTAACGTAGTTCAGTCAAAACATTATGATAAAGCTAATGTTCTTTACCTTCATTATGCGATTATATTTACTTGGGAAATTCTCTACATTGATAATTGTTTCGTTTTGTTGTTAAAATACGTTTCATTTCACCGGAGAGGATTTATTCTTCTTGAAAAGACAATATTATTAATTAAAATTGTTTGTCTGCATGAAAGAATGTTCTCAATCATTTCTAGAGCCAGTTTTTTTCACGGTTTTGTAACTCTTCCGCTCGAAACGAGATTATTTAATCAACTCTCATCTTTGTCCCAATAAAACCAGTGATTCTGCATACCCAAGCATTTGTTAATTACCAGAATCATTGGATACCCAGTAATAAAGTGGGGAAAAAAGAGCAAAAAAAAACCGGGGAAAAAATGCTGAAATGTGGAGTTTGAAGTACACCTGACAATTCTCTGTATTTCACAATAAATGCACTCTCTCACGTAGTCCACACGCGACATAAACCACACTTACGTGAGTCTGAAAATTCAGCAATTGAGAATCAATAGGGTCTATGGAGATGGAGGTTGATAAAAACGTAAGAGTTTCTGGTGAATAGGGAGTTCGTGCCCGTTGGGGACTGTTTATTCACGTCGAGAGATGGTAATCTATGTGACCACATAGTGCAGACCTTGCGGAGAGCACAGTGGCCCCAATTTGATGGAGCTGGTCATTGCCTAGACCTTGAGGGAGCGATAACACTAAATGAGACACTATGGGGTTTGGAGGACGGAAATTCATGCGAGACTTTTACCTTGTCTCGGTAAATTTATTGGATGCTACAGTCATTAGAGAATAACTGTCGTAAATTCTTGTATCTCAGGCTAATTCACCAATTCTCAATTACTTTTGTCATTCAAAATTTTTCCAGCAGTTTTTTAGTAGTTTTTCTTCATCTCCAGTGAGAAACAGAAATTACTCGTAAAGTCTAGTAATCGTAAAATGTATTCTTTTTAACAGAAATCCATTTAGAAATGCAGCAACTCTTGCACGAATCGTAACATTTCGAGGAAAAAATACAATTTACCTCGTCTCAATGAATACATTCGATGCTAAAAGCATTTGGAAAGTAACTCTCATAAATTCTTGCATCTAAACACTAGATCCACCAACTCTCAATGCACTCAAGCACTTCTCTGCTTTATTTTGAGATTATGGAGTAATTTTTGAGTGAATTGAGAACAACTGTCGTAAATTCTGGTGTCTCAGGTTAATTCACCAACTCTCAATTCGTTTTTTATTAGCTTTTCGACATCTTCAGTGAGAAACAAAAATTACTCCTAATGTCTAGTAATCGTAAAATGTATTCTTTTTAACAGAAATCCATGTAAAAATGCAGCAATCTTGCACGAGTTGTAACATTTCGAGGAAAAAATCCAATTTCCCTCGTCTCAGTGAATTCATTCGACGCTAAAAGCATTTCGAAAGTAACTCTCATAAATTCTGGTATCTAAACACTAGATCCACCAACTCTCAATGCACTCAAGTACTTCCCCGCTTTATTTTAGAATTTTGGATTAGTTTTTGAGTGGTTTTGTTGACCATCGGTACGAAAATCAAGGTTTCGCTTAATGGAACAACGCTAGCGAAGATGAAAATGGAACCCAGTTATTTCCAGTCTAACCATAAACAATTGAATTAATCGTCAAGACGATTGAGTCGATCTTGAGTTATATATCGTTGAGTGTTCCTTTCAGCTTTAGCCCGCATGGCTGGTCTCTTAATAGTTGGTCATTGGTTTCACGCGTGAACACTATGTGCTTTTCACGTGTTGCTATTTTCAGAAACACTCCAACATGAATTGAGAGAACGGGGCATTAGAGTTTTCTTCATTTTTTTTCCCCCGCTATGGATAGGTCAAAGAGCCGAAGCCAACAAGTTCTGTCAAACGAGGTATATCTGTGTTAAGATATTATAAATAATTATTTGGACATGCAGTCGAAGTAGCACGTGCAGCCAACGTGTTTCTGGGCTCCCCTTTCGTATTAAAGTCGATATGTAAATTAGTAACGAGTGAAATTCTGGAGCATGCGGTGTATTTTTGGCCGACAAATACTCTCGACATATTCAGAAATGCCCAATTCATAAATTACCTGTTGCTCGTCAGACGATTCAATCGCTATATACGGAGTTATTGTCTCCCCCATGTTGTTGTTATGACTCGAAGAATTGTGCCACTCAACTATAAAATGTATTTAATGCCGTTACCACGCAAGCCGCACGTGATGTTTTGCAATTTCAATTGAAAAACAAATTTTACGAATTTGTTTACTCCTTCAATTGCACGCAAATCATTCGTAATTGTAACTTATAATTCCCTTGCTGCGTATTATAATCTACGAAGTGTTTGTAAGACTATGAAATTTTTCAAACGAGAAATTAACCTTCCTGTTAATTTTATTCACAAAATTGTCCGGCAACGAGACGATTTTTCATGAGAAATTTTACGGACATTCGTTATTGCGAGTGAAATAATTTTTACTGCTGCGCATTATAATTCACCGTGTTTGTCAAACTGTGGAAAATATTTCAAACGATAAATCAAATGTCCCGTTAATTTTATTTACAAAATTCACCGGTAACGAGAGGATACTGTGAATTTATGGAATTTCGTCATCAGTTTAGCTTGGACTTTGATACTTGCGGAGATGTACCCAAGAGCTAAGTTGCCAAACTGTCTGCCACTGTTTCCTTGTGTTTGATTTAGAAATAGAGATCCCAACCCCAATGCTCATGTCAAACGTCACGTTTTGTTAGTCATCTTGTTCATTGAGTGTACGAGTGGGCATTTGAAATCACGTTATGTAACCGCGTGTACTCAATGAGACCAACTGATTCCAATGCAGAAAGTCCGATTTGAATTAGACGATGATTCTCTATTGATCGATCGAAACAAAGATTTATCTGAATTTGACGTGATTGAAGTGCTCCGTCTCAGCTAAATCGAGGTCCCTAATATAAGTTGGGGGTGAGAATGATGGATCATGTTTTTTTTTCACTCACCGTTTCGGCATTCTCGACCTTGAACAGATGATAATAATAGAGGCCATCGTCGCCTTTGATAAGGTAGAGGAAATTGCCACCCTTGGCATCCTGGGAGTTTGCAGCCACTGGTTGGGGCTTGGATGAGCCACTCAGCGAGTGCCGGAACAGTGGCTGCTCCTTGTCACTCTTGTACGCTGATATGTATCCAGATGCCACTAGTAGATTTACCTGGAGAAACGAAAAAAAAGGTTTTTCGTTTGAATTAGGTCGGATCCATCAGTGTCACTGTACACTTGCCACTGAAGGCTGTCAATTATTTCGTCGATAAGTCCTTTCCCTCCATCAAATAAATAAAGTACGAGATGAAGAGTAAATTGAATGGACAGGGATTAAACTCATTTCAAATATTTGCCGTGAATCGTCATTTGGGGACCGTAAAGAATGTTTTTCAAAGTTTTCCAGTCACAAAAATTAATCAATGGCAATCTTCTATTAAAATCAAATTTCCATTGGATTTCAATTGAGTAAAGTGAACCGTAAAACGGGAATAAAATCCGAAATTCATGAATAATTCTTTTAAGGCTGAGTGAATAATTATGGCAATTTTCTCGAGAAAAAAACAAAAACATGAATATTACTGAAAACTGCAGCAATTGTGAAATCAGGTCATTACGATAAAGAACATGGAATGGAAAATGCAGATGAAATGTCACGAACGAGACCATTACCTGAATCCTACTGCTATATTTTCAGAAATCGTTTTCTCCACCGCGAACGAAATTCCGAAGTAAAAGAGGATTCATTCGAGTTGTGATAATAGAATTATCATCATTCATCTGTCATATTTACAATCACACGTGTAAAAAAAAACTATAAATGACTTAATTTATTGCATTCTCATAAATTATTGAGTTTTTCAATCCTCATATGATGTTGATGGAGACAACAATCGCAGTGTGAATAAAATGAGAAATTATTTGTTAATAATTGTTTGAATCGACTAAGAAATGATTTCACGGAATTTCCATTTTTTAGAGTTGAATTCACCGTATTCGAAATTTATCAATCTACCACGTGTAAATAGATAAACTGTGTAGTACAGGTAGTTAGAATATTTTTTCAATTGCTGCGGAATATTATAAACATTATCTATGAAAAACATTGGACAAACGCAAGAGAAACCCGTTCTCAAAGGACATACGTTAATGACGAGAAAAGGAAAATAGAGTGGAAAACCATTTTGAAAATTCTTATCGAGGAATTCGTGCAGAAAACGTCTAAATAATGAAATTTGAATAAGAAGAGGAAATCCTACAGATTTTAAATACGATCGGCCAAAAATTAGCGGAATTTTCAATAAAAGTTTAATAGAAATCCAATTGCCTATCGAATTCGACAGGTTTTTGTACGAAATTTTTTTGTACGTGATCACTGATGACAGGTGGAAGTATTGTCCCACGAGAGATAAATAAATGGCCGTGACTATTCGCACCATTGCGTGAATCACTCCCGTACACTCCATACACTCCACGCATGCGTGAAGTTTGTGTGTTTCACGCAGCCGAATTTTCATACTGCTGTGTATTTCACGCAGTTGAAGTTTCATACTACTG